AAAAATAGAATCATTTTTTTCAGAGTTGAAAAACCAGAAAACATGCTTTCATTTGAAAATTACTGGTAAGGAGTATAAATCACATTTCCAGTCTGCTTCGTATTAGTACATCAGAGCAGGGTTAGAACACCAGTTTTCATCCAAAAGTAATTCAACAGACCATCTGATGCCACTTGCTATGAACTCACGTGAAGCTGAGAGAAAGAAGTGGCCCAGTAAAAATTATTGTGATGTAAATTGCATCTCTAAGACAGTAACTGAACAGTTACAGTTACCTAAGTGGCTTGTTACAACTAACAGTTTAGATCAATGCTGTAGTAAGAATAAACTGGAATTTGCAGTCGCTTGCTAATTTCCTGCTCTGGCTAAAACATCCTGAATTTTTTAAACTGTGAAGTTTATTAATGAACAGGATAAAAAAATGCAGTATAATGTACATATCACTTAACTCTTTGTGTCTTAAACTGTGTCCACAGAGGTTTGTCCCTGTTCTGTAAGAGACTGAGGGGTGGGAGTAACAGGCTGTCATAATAATGCTGCTTCTTTTATATTAATGTTATAAAGCACACAAAGCTAAGCTTACAAAAAGACATCAAAAGAATTTTAAGAGAGTCATTTGAGAAATAAAATACAAAGTTGACCTGAATGGGAGCAGTAGAAGCGAGTCTGACCGATGAAGTGGTGTGTTACTGCCTGAAGCGAGTAACATTCTATAGGCTGAATTTATATCATCCAGTAAGGATATTTTTATGTGTTTTTCCCTTTCTGCATCTACGTATTCTCTATGTGCCACCTAGGATTTTTCACCTCACCCATCAAGAATTCTATATTCTGTAATCTTTTCAGATCAGTATCTCCTATTACACTTGAACATCAGTAGCTTTTTTGCATCCTCCAGAGGAAGGGTTCTGTGCTACACCTTTTTCTGTAATTCTCACCATTATTTTATGCTAAAGAGCTGTTTGATTCACTGTTATCCGCCATGAAAGGGACTGCATACACGTTCCTTAGTTGCTGATAAATTTTTATTCCTTTACTTTTCGTTTTCTGGGAGATGGGTAAATTAGTGTATCAACCATAAAAAAAGGTTTAGCTATATGTGTGTGTGTTTACAGCTATTCAGTTTCCTAACAGAGAACTTTTATACGTCATTGTTGGCGGTTTTGTTACAGATCCTGGCCTCAGATGAGAACATAGGAGAGTAGCTTTGCCTTTTGGTCTGAGTTCCTATGCTTTCTTCTCTATAATTCTATGCCCAGCCAAAACCTGAAAGTCCCAATAATAAGTCCAAATAGAAAAAGGCATCTACTGACACTAACTTTTTGTGCAGCTCTGATTTACAAGAATGTGCGTTTAGAGCAAAATGTTCTCGCTGTTCTTGTTTAGTTGTTGGGTTTAGGTGTCAGCTGCTCCAATGTAAAAAGGAAAAAAGGTTTTTTGAACAGTGACTGTGTGTGGTTTCTTCTGTGAGTGCTAGATACTATGTCACCACTGAAATATTATCAGTAGTATTTCAAGTTGTTATTTTTTTCTAGGCAGTCTTTGGAGAGAAACAAAAGGAAGAGGAAATCAATAAAATGAAAGATGAAATGTCTCAACTTGCAGAAGATACTGCTGCAAGAATTAGAAAGGCAGTAAGTTACAATGTTTAGAACGAATGGGAAGATTCTTTGGTTTTCCTCAGCATGAAAAGCTATTGATGGTATATGGTCATAACGAGCAGCTTTCTTACAAGTGTTTGATCATATAGGTAGCAAGGCAGCGTACTAACAGTACTGTACTCTTCAGCTTTGTTATCTAGACATATATTCTTCTGAAATAAATGATATTTTTAAATCTATCAAGAACCAAAAGTGTTGATGTCTGTGTCCACATTGATATAGAGAAGGCTACACTGTGCAGAAGTAAAGAACGGTGTTTTGATTTCAGATTCTGTTTAGTAGCACGTCAACAGACTGAGGATTGGTACCAAGGTATTTCGTTTATGATACATGGCCTCATATTGGAAGTTGCTGATGGCAGTTTATCATGTATCTTCAGATGACAGGAGCTGTTGAAAGTTATACTATCGTTTTTTTGGCATCTCAGTACTTAAAAATATTCCCCCATTTGGGCAAGTAAGACTCTTCTACCAAGTACAGCTAACAATCAAAAGGCTCTATATCACAGCACGCTTAGAAATCAGAATTCGTCAGAGAAATTACTAAAAAAAGTTGCAGTCTCTTTATGATTTTTTTTTTGTTATTAGCAGCTGAAAAACTGAAGCTCTTATAAAAGACTAGTCACAAAGTTAATTTTGTTTTTATTAGCAACTGAAAAACTGAAGCTCTTCTGATAAAAGACTAGTCACAAAGTTAATTTTCTCCATGTTGTGTCCCATCTGCAGTTAAAATGCAGACTGATCTACCTGGAGGTTCTCAGTAATTATCTGCATGTCAAAGAGACTTGCTTTATTTTAAGGCAAACTCCAGAGGAAATAAAGGCTTGTTACAGGCATGTGCTGGCAAAGTCTTTTGTTGCAAGTGGACAACACTGTAAAGCAATTATCTCATTTGTAAGTTTTCAGTGTTGCGATTGATTTTGCCTCCTTTCACTTTCTTCACTATGACACAATGTGCATATATACTGTATAGTGATAAAAGGGTTCTTTTTCTTTCCAATGCTTTCATTTTGAGAGGTTTCAGGAATATACTGCCTAAATTTTCAGAGCCTTTGAAATGAGGTTAAAGATGGTTTGTGCCTTCTTTTTGGTGGTTACCCGAACCACAGAAATTGTGTGGATTACTTAAAACCGCAATATTAAATGTCATACATGATTTGAAGAAGGTACAAGAGCTAAAGAGCAATTAGGATAAGCTTAAAACCACAATATTAAATGTCATACATTTACAAGAGCTAAAGAGCAATTAGGATAAGCACTCTAGTTGAGACAATGATTTACTAATCAGAATTTAGAAATTTTGAAATGTCCTATTTCTTATTTTGAAATTTTCTCAGTAAAAGTGAATCTGTCAAAAGCATACAAAGTAAAATTTTAAACTATGAGTTGTCACATTTCTCCAGGTATTAAAAAATACTGCTTTTATTATGTGATCTAAAAATATCTATTACGCAGATTACAAATAACTTGCACCTAAAGGACAGCAGCATTTCTGACAGTCTTACTGTTCTTTTTGTAAGGCCTGATGTCTTCCTTTTTGCTTTTTTATTTTTTTTCAGAACACCCTCAGTTAAAGTAGTATGGATTGATAATAAACATTCTTCTAACTTCTGTGTAGTAAGATTCTGCCAGTTATTGCAGTCCCAGATATTTTCATTTTTATATACATGTACCACATACAGACCTGTTCTATATATATATATAAACAGGATGGAAAAACATTTAATGGGATTTAGTTTTTCAGTTTTACTTTGGTTTTGATCACAGGTAGACTCTGCAAAGAAGCAATATAATGTGCAGATTTCTCGACTAACAGAAGAACTTTCAGCTCTTCAAATGGTATGATGTTGACTGATGAAAGTATTTTTGATAGCAAAACATTTGAGACTTCTAGTTGTTGTTGATCAAGTAAAATACTAAATTCAGGTAAAAGTAAGTCAACTAAAATACGATTAATGTGTAATTGTCTAGGGCTACGCTTTATTCATGCATAGCACTTTACGTCCGGCATGTCTCCAGACGTTAATGCAACATAGTGTCTTTCATGTCACAAAAGTGACAGTGTGCAGTGTCCTAAAAGTCACTGCAGAAATTCATATTTAGGTGTAAAGGGTATTTGCTTTGAAAATGCATTTTTAATGTACAGATTTGCCTTACGTGTATACAATCATATCTTTCTTTTACTGCAAACTTGCCTGGTTCTGCATGAAATAATACAGTTCTGCAAATCCACCCGTTTCTTTGTGTAAGTTTATTCCTTGAGTTATGCATGTTCTTATCATAGCCCACAAGCATCTTGACAGTCCGATTCCGTGCTCTAGAAAGTATTTCCCATGTGATGGCATTTCTTAAGTATGCCTGTTTCTTTCAGGGATAAATAAAGGATGGAAAGCTGAGTATTGCATATCTATAGTTGGGTGTGTAGAAATGAAGTATATGAAAGTTGATAAAGTCCGCTAAGGGAAAGTCTGTGCATCACAATCATCATATTCTTGAATGAACCAGGAACTTATAACAAATTATGTAGGAGACCAAAAGGGGTTGGTGCATATGCATCTATTTATGGATTAAATTTATTTTAAAAAGGTTTCATTTTACGTGTCTCGGTCTGTATAGTGAATGAGACTGATCCTATAGAGCAGATAAATATAGCAGCAGCAAGAACTACATTTACAATGGCTGGTTTTTGGCTTTGGCACTTGAATTTTTATTTTGAGTAATTTTTTATTAGATGTATTTAACAATGACTTTTTAAAAATAGGAATGTGGAGAAAAACAGGGTCAAATTGAACGAGCCATTAGAGAAAAGAGAGCAGTGGAAGAAGAACTTGAAAAGGTAAGGCAATGCATGCATTTTTACATGATGTTTAAGATCTCTTCTGAGAGGAAAAGATACATTGATTTTTCCCATTTCTCATGGGTTTTTTTTTCCCTTAATTTTCTTATTTTATTATTTGAGTGGATTTTCTTAATTGTAAGTTTTCATGTAATTATTTTAATGTGATTTTTTTTAATCCAGAAGGCATTTTAAAGCTGTAAGACTAAACTGACAAAGAGGGTTCTTTGAAAAGTGTAGAAAGTAAAAGGAGAGATGTTTGACATAATCCAAAAGACCGTTGGTACATGTTCCGCTTACACTTAAGCTCAACAGACAGAAAACTAAATGAATGCCAGATCTTTGAAAACTTTTTTTCCAAGTAGCAGCAACAATGATAGAAATTCAGTTTTGTTTTAAATCACTGGAAAATAGGACACAATGAGGAGTATCCTCCTTGTCAGTACTATGCTGCCAATCTCCAGTGTGAGGTAAGGATCATCTTACATCTAAGTTTATTCTTCAGATTTACAGGGAAGACAGAGGACATGAATCTGACAACAGAAAACTAGAGCAGCTGCATCAGAAATACTTACTTGCAGAAACTACCAAAGGTGACCTTCAGCTAAGTCTGCAGACAACACAAAATAAACTGAAACAACTAGAAATGAAGTAAGTAGTGGATGTTACAGGAATTAGAATGGAAAACAATGGAAATTATTTCTGACTAATTAAATTGTTGATTATTTGTTAGATTTTTGTCACATCTCTTTAACCAGAAGCAGGCATAGCACTGAGATGGCATAATTCTGAAGCAAGGGCAATTGTGAATCACTAGAAAAGAACTAAAAGGGATAATGTGCTATAGAACAAAAGATTGTCTTTACAAGAAAAACAGTTGTTGCAAGCAGTTATTCGACAGAAAAATGAAAATAGGAGCATGTTATTTGGAATCTAACTGCATTTTTAAATACTGTTTGTAGGAAAAGTTACTTAATGAAATATTCAGGCCAAATTTATTATTTATAAATTCATCTACAGTGTGGTATCTCCTAGTACATGCAGACCACTGTTTACGTGGCATACTGAATTGCAGGTTTGTGTTCAGAGCTAATAGACGTTATTGCAGTTCCAATAATACAATGGTAAAAAGTACAATCTGGTACACGTTTTTAGAGCAGGTTGTCATTTTCAGTGTAAAAAGTTGAGATAATTTTCTAGGATTCCTCTAGAAGCTTCAGTCATTTCTGTACTCTCATGATCGTAAATCCTGTCATTTGCCAGAGCAATCCTCACTTGAGAATCTGGAAATGTTATAAAAATTCACGTTGTCATTTTACTGAGATTGCTGCAATATTAGATTGGTTTTATGAATTCCGTCATCTTGATAATATTCTTTGCTGACTTGTGCATAGTTCTAGCTGGCAAGCCCATGAAACGTGCTGAGCTGATACAAAGTTTCAGGAAGAAACAGGGGAATAGCTGTACTGGGTCAGACCAAAGATCTGTCCCGGTATGTATTTTTTCCCTCTAGTTATGGTAGTTGTTCAAGCCTTGTTCCAACAAGACTTTTCTTCTTTCAGCTCTGAGGAAGAGAAGTCTCGTTGCCAGGAAGCTATCTCTAAATTGCAAAGCATTCTGGATTCAGAAAGAGAAAAGAGCGCCTTTGTCAGTGAACAAAGGCTAAAACTTCAGCAAGAGAATGAACAACTGCAAAAAGAAATGGAGGGCTTGAGAAAACTGGCCACAGAAGCTCAACAAAAAGCTAAAATAAGGGTATGTTTATACGTTATTTTTATTTTAACGTAAGACTGATACTTGCTTAATAAGGCAGCAGTTCTAAGAGAAAATCATTGAAAGTTTAAATTAAGGGTGAAAATTTCAATGATGCTTCCTGGTGTCTGCTTAAAAGTAATTTTGTTGTAGCATTGTGTGTCCTCAGAATCTACTGGGTAACTCAAGCTCTGCTAATAAAATTGTATTTTAATATCTATTAAATTCTGCTCAATAAGATCCCAGATATTCTTTGTTTTTTATAAATGAATAGATGAAATAGTAACATAGTTTCCTTCAAGTGATTTCACTTATTCCCATTCCAGATCTGATTTCTCTCCTGTCTGTAATGTGTTAGGAATCTCCGTATGACTTTCAGTCCAGAGTGTTCCTCTGCTTGTATGTCCACCATGTTGTCAGAACAGTGTGTAACTAATAACTAGTTTAATACTGTGGTTGTTGAACGTTGGTTCTGTATTTTCTGGACAGAAGTCATTTTTCTGTATGAATAGCTGCAAACAAGATAATCAGCTGAAAGATGGATGTTCTTTTTGAACACGTTCCATTAAATGCAGCTGAACAGACTGCAGGTGGGATAATGAATTAATAGTGACCTCAGGAGATTCATGGAACCTTTGCCTTTTAGAGGGAGTAACAGCTTTGATCCTTGATGTGCTTTCTAAACATACACAGCTGGTACTTTCCCCTCTGCTCTTAACTCCAGGAATGTAAAGATATTGAAAAGGGATCTAAGAATCTGCAGCAATGAAGAGGACCTCAGAAAGCAGTTGTACAAGTTAGGAAAGGGGGCCATCACAAACCTGGGTGCCACTTTGCACCACAAGATAAAGGAGTCAAATTAATCAGGAGATCTTGCTCCAGCTCCAGAACCCTTTGGTCAAATGAAGTTTAAAGGATCAGAGTCTGGTAACAGATAGGTAGCGGTTATAAAGCATAGACCAGATCTTTGTCTGTCTCATTTTTAATCAGACAGGCTTCCATTATAGTCACAGATAAGATTTATTGCTTGCTTTCATTTTCCTCTGATGTACGAAGGATTTTAGATGCAGTTAAGAAACTCCTAACACATTTTAGCTAGATGAGAAAGAACGAATGTGTTTCTGTGGAGAAAACACAAGGGAGGAGGATAAAGATTATTTACAAAAATAAGCATACACAGCTCATTATCCTTTATCGTCAGTTGTACTATTTGCTTAAATTGGCTTTGGGAACATGTATCTATTTGAGCATATAATCACAAGTGTAATTATTGTATGTAACATGCTTTCAACAAATATTTATAAATTTAACTCGTGTTGTAAAAAAAAAAAAAAAGGTAAAAAATGAGAGACCTGATTGCACCCAATTTGTATTTTTTCTAGATAAGCACAATGGAGCATGAACATGCTGTGAAAGAACATGGATATGAAGCTCGACTTAAGGAAATGGAAGACACCAGTCAGAAGTCTACTGCAGAACTTAGACGGCTGTTAGCAGCTCAGCAAAAAGCAACAAATCGGTGGAAAGAAGAAACAAAAAATCTTACTGAAACTACAGAAGCCAGGATCAGTAAGCTAAAGTAAGTGCCATTTTGTTCCTCTTCTGGAAACTGTTACAGGTTTAGTTACTGTTTGGTGTATGGCAGTAGACCTGTGGTGAAAACTGTGAAGAGCAAACCATCTGGACTAGGTGACGTGCTTCCAGCAAAACAAAAAAGAATGTTTAAAGAGAACTTTCAGTGCTCTTTGTGAAGTTAGCAGCTAGGCACTGAAGTAATAATTTTGCATCTTGTTGATGTGTGTGAATTTTGTAATGACAAAAAGTAAATGGAATATATTATTTCTAATTTTCTCTTTCAAGGTACAGCATGCTCAATTTAGAGAATTTCAGCTTTGGCTTATGAAAACCTCTATATTTATAGCTATTCAGAACAGTCACCATAAAATCAGTAGTGGAGTGAGTCTCCAGACTTCTAAAAAAAACTATTGGGATGCATATGTAATGTTTTCTTCTGAGCAGCTGCTGTCATAAATGAGGATACAAATGATTTTTGCGATTGCCCTAAGCAAAAATAAGATATAAACTTTACTTTTCTCTTAATTCATACAGGTTGCCAGGTAACTAGCTGGTATTTGTATTCCCAGCACAGAATATAAGAATATTTTCAGTTTTGAAAGGGCATGATAACAAGGGCATCTCATGCAACAGGCACAGATACAGATGATATATTATTCCTAGATGCTGGGGAATACAAGCGCCTCTGGTGCCTTTGATACTATAGACAAACAGACAGACATAACTGGTTTAGAGAGGATGGCGGCGTTACTGGAAATGAGTGAGTAGAGAAGGAAGTGTCCCAGTGAGAAATTTGCCCACTGAGAAATGAGCCATTTGCAAATTATGTCTGAAACAAATACTACAAAGTGATCTTTTTTTAATGCATACTGCTATAGATACTGTTTGCTTCGACTTGGATGTTAATGTCCATTAAAAAATGTTAAGAATCCACACTGATCGGTTTGTGAAGTAAGCAGATGCGGCATCTACGTTCACCTTGGTTTTCCTTTTCAGTGTGTGGACACATTGCAGAGTGTTAAAATGTAAATTAATTGGTCTGTGCACAGTGGATTTTTCATGTCTTTCCTTTTCTGGTATTCCCTTCCTCCACCTCGGCTTCCTCATGTGTCTTGTTTAGCTGGCAAGTAACTGCCAAACTGTGGCTAGCTGCGAGCTGACACACACTCACTCACTCCGGTTAGCCAGCTAGCTGGTGCTTGGAGGAGGCCAAGTTTTAAAGGGGCTTTCTCTCAACAGAGGCAAAGATAAATGTTTACCTCGTGCTTTAGTCGATTTCTAAGCTCAGGAAACTCTGTCAGATCAAGTAGACTATCAATTGGAGATTAAATTAGCCTGATATTTTTATAGAACTTAGACATTTAAGTCCTTGCGATCTCTTCCTCTTCAAAATTGGTTTAAAATTGGAGGAGATTGACAGACTGGTACACAATAACTTCTAGACTAGGAAGCCTGATTTCATAAGTCTCACTTCTTTCAAATTAAAATGGTTAGAAAAGAATATAACATTGCGTATATCATCGTCTTTTGGGAAGTGCATTCAGTGGTTTTTAGCAGAAGAATTCAGGGTATGCAGCTGCGTTAACTTGAGTAATTTGAAATGACCCTTTAATTTTAGTCATGTAAAGTTCAGGATGCGCTCATTCTTTGCTCAGATTAATTTTAGAAGTTGCTTACTATCATGTTAGCAAAGAGGCAAAGCTCTTGCCCTGTTAAAATTGGAAATGTGTGAAGTCTAGCTTTTATTTCCTTTGGAGTAATCATTAGATTTTCCATGTTTCATTATTATAATGGCTTACATATTCTCAGCTCGAGCCATAATACTTCCAGTATCCTATGCAGATTTTGAAGTCACAGTTTTTTAAGCGTAGCTTGACATTTCTTAGTTGTCAGAATGCCAATGGTGTGAGTGGAATTAGAACCCAAGTTTCTAAACACAAGCAAGGAAAATAACTTCCTGAAAGTGTTGCCTACAACAAATCTACCCTGCCGCTACTCTGACTTGATTTTCCATCTTTTTTAGAGAAGTATGTGAATTTGACCTCCAGTGAACTTCGCAAACAGCAGTCTTGTATGGAGTAGTGCTTCCCTTTGAAACTACTTTCATTCCTCTTTAAAGTGACACAGTGTCTGTCATGACTAGTTGTACCCATTGTCTGCCCAAATAGAGGAATGCTGAGTTCCATCCTGCTTGAAGTAACAGGAATGATAGATGAAACGTTTATTGATGACTTTTCTGTTTTACTAGCAGCTTCACTGATCTGCTTTTCATTTTTTCAAGTGCTCCTTTTCTGAGCGTTGAGAACACATTGTAGTAGTAGTGGATTGTTACCTATGATAACTAGTTCAGTTTAAATTTTTCAGACAGTTCAAAATCATACTAAATCCAATTGGAGATAATATTTCTGCCTATTTTTTCTACAAAAACAAGTCCTAAATGATCAGTCTGGTCAGTTTTATCTCTCTGAAGTAAAAAGTTTCGGGTTTTTACCTTATCTGTCCAGATATAGACGGGTTTTATTTTGCCTTAAATGTACTGCATTTTGCAAAGATTACTAAAAACCATTTTTTTAAAAAGTCTGTTTCAGAAGTCATCACAGTGTTGAGCATGACTGCGAGACACTGGGAGCTGTGCTTATTCACTGACAGTGTTAGCGGGATAGCTTCACTGTAGGTAATTAGCTGGGTCTTACTGATGCTTTTTTGACATCGTTTGTAAATGCAGTAACTAGAGAAAAATACTTTGTAGTGTTTCATGCTAAGGTAAATATAAGCTGTTAAACTTGTAGTTTATTTTCTGTAAATGGAACTACAAAATCTCTCACAGTTGAGCAACTAGATTGCTAACTAGGTCCTGAATGTAGTTCAGCAACTTCCAATTAAAAGGGAAAAATTGCAGACTTTCAAAACAATTGAAGTTGTCTGTGAAGCAGCTGCTTTCCTCCTTAAAGCTTTAATGTTAAGTGTTACAATGTTGCTATAGTGGACCAAAAGCTTTAGACCTTATTTATCGACAGCAAAATGCTGACATAGAAAATATAACAGACATAAGAGGAAGTCTGCTTTGTGAATCTGCATGAAAACTAGGTAGTAAATTTTGAAAATGTCCCTGTTTATGTAAGAAACTGCTTATGTGGCATCATCTGGAAAACTCCTGCAATAATTTACCGTCCTGTATCAGAGAATGCTGCCTGATGAGCAGAATAGAAAAATTCTTCATCTCGTTAACAATTGTAAGTCTTCACTAAGTGCACATCATTCTCTGTGGCTTCAGTAGATATTTTGGTGCAAGTCTAAAAGCAAAGACAGTTACTTTAAGATGATTCCATAGGTGATGCTTTTGCATCCTGTATAAGCTAGAAGCAGAAGTTTTTGAGACGTTTGCTCTACCTAACAAGGAAGCTGGCAATGGGAACAAGTTTGTGCTCTGCTAGAAGGTTGTAATTTAAACTGACATAAGGAATTTCATAATTAAATCTGTGCAGTGATGCTCTGATATTACGGCGACAAGTGGCTATAACAGAACCTGTAAGTATTATCTAGAAAATTTAACGCTAGCTTATTTTTCACGTTGTATGCATTACCAGATACGTAGCTATGCAGAATGCAGTTGGTATGAGAACTAGCTCCTGAGTTACACAGTAGGAGTTATTCAATGCAAAGTCCTTCCTTATATTATAAATAAGTAATTATCATATTTATTTTAATCTTACCACAATAACATTTTGCATAAGTATTTTGAGTGCGAGTACAGAATGGCAAATCACTTCTTACTTTGTTGTGAACTAAAATAAAGTTGCTGATTATTTAAAAAGCAAAATAATTTTGCAGCAAATGCATTTATCATGGAAATATCAGCAAGACCAGTAAATAACGGACTGACAGTGGGTAAGCAGGATCTATTGAATTAAAGGCTCTGTTTGAAAGTCCTCTTGAGGTTAATGCAGGAAATGGTATCACCAAGCCTTATAGCAGGGTCCGAGTGAAAGGCTGATGTTCACCCAGCTTTCCTATATACATACGTTTTTAAGTCTATGTGGTTTTGAGAGGGTTAGTTAAGCTCTGAGCTTGTAAGGAAAACTTAATATCTTCCTTAGAAACTCCATGCTGACTGGGCAGCAAGACTTACGTGAAGATACCAACATACTCTTTTTGGATTTAAATAGAGAGCGTGCCAAGTTTAGCAGCATATCGTGGTTATTTAGTATATTTTGAGGACAGCGTGAGACGTTCCTTGGCACTTCATGAAGTTACTGTTTGATGTATCAGATTCATGCAAATATATGAGCAAATACGGAGGTTGTGTTGGTGACATATAGCAGAATTTCAGTTCTTAATAAAAATTATTACTCTTACAGCATAGTAATGTGCTTTATAAGTGAATGTTTTTGGGGAAGTTATACACTTCCTAACAAAGTCATATCCATGTATACTAGGGAGGTATTTTACATAAAAGCATTTTATATTGCATTTCACCAGAAGTTTGCTGTTAGCGCAGCTCTCGTAAGCATTGAGTTGGTGTCCCATTTGTTAGTGTAGGTGTTTCCCATTCCTTTGCCTTAAATTCATGATCTGTTGCTGTTTTTCAGTTCTCTCCTCATTACTTTCATTTTCCATGTGAAGGTGTCTGAAACATTTTGGCTTCTTTACTAACTTCCCAGCAGCAGCTGCCAACTTTTCCATATTCTGTGCGGCTCATTTGTCATCTTTTAAGTCTGCAGTGTTTTGTTTGTGAGGTGTAATACATATGCATAAAGGAAGCATTAAATGAATACTTTTAAGAATGGAAGCAACATCAGCAAACATTAGGTGATTTTTAATTTAAAAAAAATAAAGAAGGAAAAGTAAATTTTGCAACCTGGAACAGTAGAGCAGAGGGATTTTTTTTAAAAATAAGAGAATTAGTAGATCAGGTAAAAACGTTGATAAATATACTTTCAGGCTTCACTGAAGATTGTTCTGTGCTCTCTTGGACATTTGGGTCTCAGTTCAAGTTAAACATGT